CATCCAAACAGGAGGACAGACAATCTGCCTCCTTGTTTATTTGCATGGATACCAAGATCTGTTAATTTGCATGGATACCAAGATCAAATGTGCGTTATTCCAAATCCGGTATTGCCTCAATGCGCATGGCTTTACAATTAAGAATGGGATATGCTATCTACACACCTATTTTCACTTCTCACACATCACTTGTTAATTTATGTTCGTTGATCTTCTTCAATTCATCCGATCCGACAGCTGAAAACTAAAAAAGTGTGAGAGAAGTAAAAAGAAGTGTGTGGATATCACACCTCTTAAGAATAATTGTTAACGACATTTGCTTATGCGATGGGGGTGAATGATATCTAATGGTTAAGAAGATTTGACTAAGAATGCTTGTTAATTAGTCGCATATGTAATGTATATGAGTGTGATTCTTAATCGTAAACAAAATATTTGATCATGCAATGCATGTGAGCGATTTTTAATCGTTAACAAGATCCATTTTTAAATCCCCACGTAAATTAACATTTGCATATCGCTTACATACGCAAATTACCAAATTGAGTACAATAATAACGAATGGCTGGATCCATGATTTCAAGATTGGGGGGTCTCAAGATAAAAGTTCAAAAAAAAGAAAAATATTAGACTAGTTTGGTTCCATAGCACTATTTTTTATTGAATTTGGTTCATTGAATAATCAAAGGGAAAATTACGTTCGCATCCTTCTTTTTATTACTCCATTAATTAAAATCCTATTTATTTTCAATTTTTGATCAAGAACCTTGGGTATTAATAACATCATTAATTACTTGAATAATAAAATATTTTTATTTTTAAATATATTCCTTTAGTGTTAAAAATGTTACAATTAGTATATTTATATTTATAGCTAAGTTTTTTTATCATATATTTTTATTTTTAGTTTGTACCTATTTTTAATTTGTACCAATTTTCTTTTCATTTTTAATTTGTACCCATATATTAGTTTTTTTTTGTGCCCATATTTTTTAAAGTTTTTTTTGTGTTTGTACCCATGGTATATTTATGTTTTATGCCTAAACTTTGTGTCATATATTTATATTTTTAGTTTGTACCCACTTTTAATTTGCAACATTTTTTTTTAATTTGTAGTATTTTATTTTTAGTTTTATTTTGTACCTATGTATTAATTTCTTTTAGCGCCTATATTTTTTAAAAATTCATTTGTACTCATAATTTTCTAATCTTTTATTTGTACCCTAATTTATTTATAATGTACCCATTCTTCTTTATTAATGTACCACTTTGTTATATGTGAAATGTACCATTTTTTTTTTTGTAATATGTACCATTTTTTTAACACTACGAATGTCACATCCTAGCCCGGGGTGGATTACTTCCCAGGTCTGCTCCACCACCTTAGCACGATATTGTCTACTTTGGGCTTAACATTCCCTCACAGTTTTGTTTTGGGTAACTCACGAGCAACTTCCCAGTGGGTCACCCATCATGAGATTGCTTTAGCCCCCTTCTCGCTTAACTTCGAAGTTCCTACGGAACCCGAGGTCAGTGAGCTCCCAAAAGGCCTTGTGCTAGGTAGGGATGTGAATATACATTTAAGGATCACTCCCCTGGGCAATGTGGGATGTCACAACGGATACATTCTTTTGCCATTTATTATTTCTTATTTTTATATATTTTTTTATCCATTTATTCAATTAAAATGTTTGAATTTTTTTTATTGTAACCGTTTCTAATAGTATTATAATGAGGGATTTTAAATTTATAGGATTATAAATCTCATAAAATATCAAACAATTAATGTCAAAACTATAAAAATATAAATATTAATAGTAATATAATGAGATATACAAAGTCAAGGGACTTTGATCAAACTTTGAATACTATTAAGGTTTTAATCAAAGAATATTAAGGATTAGGAACCGCATCTAAAGTATCCCATAATCAAAATTAATCAACCACATCAAGTGGCCCAGTGGTAAGGGCGCAGATTTCGGCTCTCAAAATACAAAAAACAGGAAGGTCCCGGGTTCGAGGCTCCAAGCTGGTGTGTCTGCTTGACCGTGGTCAGGAGAAGGCTAAAATGCTTATGTGAGTCTTCTAGGCCCCTAGAAGGAGTGGATAACCGTGACTTGCTACTAGTTGTCCCGCGTTTAAAAAAAATAAAATAATAATCATCAAGATTAATCTCAAAGGTAATAAAACCAACAAATTCTCCTTAACAACATAATGCATCAATTAATGACTTTACAAAGATGAAATTTGTTAACGTAACATATATATTACAATTGGGAGTTGAGACTAGAGTTTAGGATTAAAAAACTTAAATGAATTTGGAAGAAATAAATTTAGGCAGCTAGAGGTGGTGGAACAGCAAATGGTCCTAGCGGATGGAGTAACTTGAGTTTAAAGTTGGGAGGCTGCGACGATTTGGAAGATTAAAACAAAAATTAGAAACTTCTTCTTCTTCGTTATAAGCATTGCTGCATGGACGTCCATAAAGACAACAAACCTATCCACTGCACCTATCCAAATTGTTGGAGGGTCTCGAAAATCGATCACAAATGTTTCTTCAGACTTACGAAGAGTCCCAGGACCTTCCGGATCCCTATATGGATCCGTTCATAATTAAGTTCATTGCATGGGACCTCACGTCTTGCTTGTAGCAGAGGGAATTAAGAAAATGATGAAACTAAGGGTTGGTAACCAAACATTTTATAAGTCTTATGTGCATGTGGGTGTATGAATTTGACATGAACATGTTAATTAACTTTTGACCGACGTAACCCGACCAAAACAGGTGGCGCAGAACTGCTGGTTAAACCTACCTAATTTCTGATTCCACCAAAATTTATGGTGGATTGCATGTTGGGGTTAGAGCAAAGTCTCAGCCGTGCAGTCACCGAGGTTCAGCTGCGCTGGTAAGGATCAACTTTTGGAGGCAGATACTCTACCCTCTTATTTTTCGTGTCTTTTCGTGTTATTTTATTTTATATCATCATAAGTTATTTTAATATTTTATATTATTTTTTTATAAAGATAATAAAATAAAAAGAAATAGTAATATAAAATGTTGATGTGACTTAACTGTGACCATACAAAACAGAAGAACACGAAAAATAAAAGGGCAGAGAATATACCTCCTTAATTTTTTTTGCTAAAATCTGAGTTCGCTGTCAATAATTTCTTTTGTGAATGATTTGTTAAAAAAAAAAAAAAAAGAAAAGACTTTTTTAATAAATCTGCAAAGAGGCTTGTCGTATACTTTAACTCTATAATAAATACTGCGTATTTTAACCAAGTCAGATGTTTTGGTCTGTCTTTGTGTACATATCAATATCATATGAGCACCGATCCCCTTCCCCAAATTAGATAATATATATAATTGCTGCAGAGAGAACAGAGCCCAAGTCACTTGCCTTAGAAAAATAATGTACCAAAACCCTAACAAAATAATAATGCAGGTTAATTAGAATATAAGAGTTTGTTTAATAAGTTTCTAATAATCTACTCAAAACCAAAAACCCTAAAACGTTCTAATCATATAAACCCAGTAGAAAAGGGGACTGTACGTATCACATTGACCTGTATTTATTTATTCAACTTAATCCTTGTTTAAGGGTGTAAGGAAGTTGCCTCGAGCACTAATCACTTCGAAATGCACTAATCACTTCGAAATGCACTAATCACTTCGAAATGTCGATATCTCTTGGCCTAAATTCAATTTCCGTGCCATAATTAATATGTATCTTATGTGTTTTTTTTACACGTAAAGTAGGGCTTCCTTTAAGGCGCGATTAGCTATGAAAACTCAGAATATATGCATAAGTTGTCAGTTGGTTTTGCCAGGTCCGTTAATCTATTTTTCTTTAACATAATGCAAGAGAGATTAAATTTATAAATAAAATTTACAAATTAAATGACATGAAAGTTGCTGATTAAATTATTACTTAAGCGGTGATAAACATGTTCATTTTCTCTTGATGACACATCATTTGGTTTAGAGTAATTGTGACAATGATCTCTTAATTTTAACTGAATTGGAGCAATGGTCATTCAACTAAAAATTCATTACCATTGGTTCCTCAACTCATCAAAATTTGCAACTATGATCCCTTAACTAAAAATCAATTACCATTGGTCCAGCAACTTTAATCCAACTGGAGAAATAATCCTTCAACTTTAACCCAATTGGAGCAGTAGTCCATCAAACTTTAACCGAATTGTAGCAATGATCCTACTAACGTAACTTATTTTGACAAAATTCTGACGAAGTTGATGGAAATGGTCATAGCTACACGTTTTGACGAGTTAAGGGACTCCAATTGTAGCTATGGTCCTTCCAATATAACTTACTTTGACAAAATTTTCGACGAAGTTGATTAAAATGACCATTGCTCCAATTTGATTAAAATTGAGGGATCATTGCTACAATTTACTCTAGAAAAGTTTGTCTACAAATTTAGTCTCCCTAGCATTATCCTTTTTTTTTTTAAGGGTAATGTTATGAAAACTAAAGGACATGGAAGTTTATAATTGGTTTATTACTTAAGCGTTGAAAAATGTGCTCATTCTCATTGGTGACACATCATTTAGTTTGCAAATTTAGTCTCCCTAGCATTATTCTTTTTTTTTTTTTTTTCAAATTCTAATTGAAGTGTTAAGTCTATGATAAGTATGTAATGCATCAACTCTCACTCAAACAAGAAATTTTTGATTGTGACGAGATTACGAATGGTACACCACGTGTTTTTATGTAAATGGTGGAAAATTTTACTTTTTAAGTTATTAACCTTTTAACACACAAATTCCACTATTTATATAGTGACATATGATGTACCATCTCGTGTGACGGTCACACTAAAAATCTCTTCACTCAAACCCCCTCTGCTGTCGCGTCGTTTACACGCGCCGTCCTCCACACGTCACCCACCTAGGAAATGGCGGGGAATAACATGATCTCCCACCCCATTTAAAAACTCCAAACTCCGAAAATCCCCCTTCTCTCTCTCCCCTCCAGCTCACGCATTTTCTAGAGAGAGAAAGAAGACCGGGGAGAGAAAATTCCAAGCTTTCTGTATGCAAGATCAAATCTTTTTGGTGGGTAGCAGAAGAGGATGTAAAACCTCCAACAAAACAGAGAAAGATAAACAAAGATTTAAATAAAAAATTGGCCATCTTATAAGGAACCAATAATTCTCTAAGATTTTGGACCTCCAAATGCACATGGCTTCTTGGTTTTCTCTCTTGTCTCCCAAATATTTTTCTTGTGGTTTTCTCTTCCCTCACATGCTCTCCTCTCTCTCTCTAGTTGATTCATCTTCGGCGAAAGCCTATTGACTAAACCAGTTGATAAGATCCCTCCTCAGATATACAGTGAAAGCTTTTCGCCATTCTCGGACTCTGTTCTTCTTCTTCTTTCTCTGTTTCGTTGCGAAAAGGTTAGTTCTTCGTCAATGGCAGTCGTTAATTCACTGTTTTGGCCTTGATTTCTCACTTGGGTATGTTTTATTTTTCAAATTATGCAGCTTGATCAACCCCATTGATTCATTTGGCTTTCTAATCATGTTTGACTTGTTTTTGTTGATGGATCATGGATCTCGGCTTCATTGTGCCCAAATTCAGGTTCTTGTCTTGTCTTCCCTTCTATTGGAAAAAAATGAGAAGTGATTTAACTTACAAGTGAAAAAATTAACAACATAGTTTGTTGATTTTGACACTTTAGTTCTCAATTTAATTGTTTCTCACGATTAATTTTGAGACTTCCAGTTAAGTTTTTCTCTTGAATTTGATTTACTTTCATTTTTTCGGCATCTCGGTTTTGATCAGAATTGGGATTCTTCTTCAGGGTCCCGGGAAAGTTGTCATTTTTATATGTTGCAGAAAGTTAAAAATTATGATTTACTGAAATGCAAGGAGTGAGAAAGTGGTAAAATTTTGAAGTTATGGTTTGGGATACGGAGACCGACAACATCGACGAAATGGACATGGAAGGTCTCCCTTCCATGTGGCCTGACGACATCGGAGCTGATGCCGGAAAGCAGTTCAACATAGACAAGCCGGGGCAAGATCTGGACATGTTGGAGGAGGTGACATTCATAGAGGAACCAACAATCGTTGATTTCCAGCGCCTTGTCGAGCTGACAAACTACACCGATAAGGGCTCTTCGCAACTTGCATTCCTCGTAAAACACTGGGAGTATAAGCAGGCAAATGCCGTGCGCCTTCTCAGAGAAGAACTCGACATCTTAAGCAAGCAAAGGCAGGAGGTTGAGCTCAAGAAGTTGGAGATACTGGAAGAACATCGCTTTGAGGCAGAGAGTTATGGAGGCGACAAGCGCCCCATTTCGATTTTGGATGAAGTTTATGACATATGGCCGGAAATTGCCCCGAAGAAACATGATGTTGTTGTGCTGACCAAGAGGGTTGAGGTAGAAGCCGAGTATGATACTGTTGCGTACTGGAAGCAGAGGGCAATGCAATTGGAGAAACTGTTGGAGGCGAGTGCCGAGAGAGAGCAGATTCTTGTGGAAAAATTGCAGGAAAGCATTCGGAGTCTTGAAAGGCAGTCATCGCCAGTTGAAGAACTTTCTCAAATTTTGAAAAGAGCAGATAATTTCTTGCATTTTGTTCTTCAGAATGCACCTGTTGTTATTGGCCACCAGGTACATTTATAATACCATGTGAATCCTCTGTTTAAATTTTTCTTAACGATAAAGCGAGAGTAACGAAGGATTAGGCGAGCATAACTACAAGGCTTGGTCATCGGACAACTACAGCTTATGTTTGTGTTCGAAACGGTCTCACTTATCACTGATTTCCATTTTCTTTTGCTTTCTGTTTTAGGATAAAGAATTGCGGTATCGATTTATCTATAACCACTTCCCAAGTTTGCAAGAGGAGGTAATTTCATTGCCACTGATGTTCTTAATCCTCACCTCTTCTTTATAATCTCGTTTTTCGCTTCTTGTTTCGCAGCATTGCTTAAGTGAAAGGGTGATACTGAACCACTTAAAGTTCGTCGCTTTCGTTGTTTTTCTGCAGGACATTATAGGAAGAACAGATGTTGAAATTTTTTCTGGAGCCGGCGTTAAAGAATCTCAAGATTTCAAGAAAGAGGTCCTAGAGAAAGGCATACCTTCAAAAAGGGAGATTACATTTGAAACGCCCTTGTTTGGGTCGAAAACGTTTTTGATATATGTGGAACCTGTCTTCAGCAAGGCAGGGGAGACAATTGGTATAAACTATATGGGGATGGATGTAACTGATCAGGTATTTGCACATTTTTAGTGTTGAATTTCAAGGCTTTTCTTCTGATCACTTATCAATCGAGGTTTTCGTACACCTTCGGGCATGATTTAGGTGAGGAAAAGAGAGAAGATGGCAAAGCTTCGTGAGGAAATCGCGGTCCAGAAAGCCAAAGAAACAGAACTGAACAAAACAATTCACATCACAGAGGAGACAATGCGAGCGAAACAGATGCTTGCAACAATGTCTCATGAGATAAGATCGCCTCTTTCCGGGGTTGTTAGCATGGCTGAGATTCTCACCACCACGAAACTGGATCACGAGCAACGCCAACTTTTGGACGTCATGTTATCTTCGGGAGATTTGGTCCTTCAACTGATAAACGACATCCTTGACCTTTCCAAGGTGGAGTCAGGTCTGAAGGTTCATCCTTTTCCTCGTCTATCATTCACGGAAACAATACCTCGTGTTATCTGATATTCCTCAACTCTGCTGGTGCAGGAGTAATGAAGTTGGAAGCTACGAAATTCCGGCCACGAGAGGTAGTAAGGCATGTACTACAAACGGCGGCGGCATCATTGCAGAAGATTTTGAACCTGGAAGGGCATGTATCTGAGGATGTTCCCGTGGAAGTGAGAGCTTTATATTGCAGCGCCTGCATCCTCTGCATTTCTAATTTTCTAAGGACATCTAAATATTTTTGTGTTTTCATTTTCTTGTTTCGATTTCAGGTCATCGGCGATGTTTTAAGGATTCGCCAAATTCTAACCAATTTGGTAAGTAATGCGATCAAGTTCACTCATGAAGGGAAAGTTGGGATAAAACTCTACGTGGTATCGGATCCGTCATTGGAAGAGGGTGAAAGATGTCACCAAAATTCGGAAACAGTTCAATCGACGGTTTCAGAGAATGGACTGAAAGCGGAGAAACCAGCGTCTCAAACTTCTTGTGATCAAGAGGGTTTCGATGTAGACCGACCATACCAAAATCGCTCGCTTACCTACGAACCTAGAACCCCGGCCAAGAGTGAGGTTTCGATGGATGCAGCAGATCAAGAGGACGAACCTCATTTGCCAGAAACGAAAACGGTTTGGTTACGATGCGATGTATACGACACCGGAATCGGAATACCAGGTATGCTTTTTAAGTGGTCACTTCTTCAAATGGATCGAAGAAACTGAAATTTCTAAATATGTTCTTTTGAACTTTTCATGTATCAGAAAATGCTTTACCTTCTCTGTTTAAAAGATACATGCAAGTCAGTGCCGATCATGCTCGGAAATATGGAGGGACAGGATTAGGTCTAGCAATATGCAAACAATTGGTAAATACTTTTTGCCATAAATTATTTACTGTTTTTACCCAATTTTATTTTAACTGTTTTCTTAGAGCATTTGGATGTGTTTTGGTGCAGGTCGAGCTAATGGGGGGTCAACTCACAGTATCTAGCAAAGAAAAACGTGGGTCGACATTTACATTTGTACTCCCGTACAAGGTCTTGACATCGTCGGAACAACAATCCGATGACCCCAATGATTCTGACGAAGCTTCGGATATGGCTAGCCAAGAGGGCGCAACTGATGAAGTAGCTGAGAGCTATTTCCAGTTCCAGCCGAGGACTTTGGGTTCTCTGTTCTCTCTAATGGATCCGCCAGGACACCAAAATTGTTACCGCAAAAGATGGGGTTTACTGGTTCGCATAAACTCAATGGGCTTGAACAAAATTCATACTCGTTTCCGAACAGTAACATGAGACCGGAGGAGATAGCTTCGGTTGAAAACTCTTGCTCGGAAGGTGATTTTGCGGAGACGTTATCAGAACCAGAGAGTTCCTCAGCGAGTCGCAACCGAGACCCTAGTAGTGAAAATCCAGCTAGTACAAACAAACAGGGTCGAGATGACATGGATAACCGATTCCAAGACTCTATAAGTACAGATTCAAGTCATCCTTCAGCGGAAGGAAGAGAAATAGCTGTAGAGGCACCCACAAGAGAACCCCAAGGTACATGTAAGAGGCAGGAGAAACCCGACGCAGACTCGGACAGTACTTGTAGCAGCAGTTCAAAAATACCAAAACCAACATCAAAACCTAAAATTCTTCTTGTTGAAGATAACAAGATTAATGTTATGGTGGCGCAGAACATGATGAAGCGGCTAGGCCATAGCATGGATGTTGTGAACAACGGAATGGAAGCTGTGCGTGCAGTTCAACGCTGTAGATACAATCTCATCCTCATGGTACATAATTTCTACAAAACTCCAAAGGCTGTATTCATCTATAGAAACAAAAGAATCACACACATCTTGGTACTTATGGCTGTTGTAAAATTTGCAGGATGTTCACATGCCAGTTATGGATGGCCTTCAAACTACAAGACTTATACGTTCTTATGAAGAAACTGGCAACTGGGATGCAGCTGAGAAAGCTGGAATTGAGCTTCCTCTGCCTTCATCAGAAACAACACAGAACGGTCATGGCTACACGCCTTGTGGAAAGCGAATCCCAATCATAGCGGTGCGCCTATATTTACAGTCTTATTGCTCTAACCTAAGTTTTCTCATAAGCTACTAACAGCATTATATACTAATGCCATCACATTATGATGCAGATGACAGCAAATGCATTTTCAGAGAGTGCAGAAGAATGTTTCAAAAGTGGAATGGACTCATTTGTGCCGAAGCCTGTAACATTTCAAAAATTGAAAGACCGTCTCGAACAATACCTACCTGATTGATACAAGCATCTATTGTAAATCCTACAGTTTGTGTACAAAGAAAATGAAGGTTTGCTTGTGCTAGGAAAGTTTTGTAATCAATGTATCATATTCCTCTCTTCAAAACATTAGTAGCACCTAAATACAAATTGTATATACACAAAAACTCCGAAAAAGATCAATTGTTCAAAATTAAAACCAACTGTTTTCACAATTCCAAGCCACGATAACATACAAACGCATCCAAAAACTAAATCCCAAATGGCATATTACATAATCCGGACCGATAACAGTCATAACAGATATCCCGTAACATTCCAAAATTTATAGTATGCGTCGAATACTACCTACCCGATTGACATAAACACCTATGATAGTTTGCTTGTGCTATGAAAGTTCCGCAATCGATGTATCAGATTCATATTTCAGTCAAAATATTATCAGCATTATCGGGTTATAAAATTGTACATATACAACAACTCCAAAAGATCAAACTGTTCAAAATTAAAATCATTGGTTTTCACTATTCGAAGCTGAGGATAACCAAGCAACAAACACCTCTAAAATCTAGAATCCCAAATAGCATATTACATAATCCAGAATAAAGATAACCTGGAATGGGATAATCAGATAATCCCAGCATCCAAACAGCACAACATTAACCACAAGAGCGGCGGAGGAATCACTTATCTTTGGTGGAGACGCCGTACTTCTCCTGCATCCTGGCGATCTCTTCCTCCTTCTTCTTCGTGTCGAACTTCTTGCCCATCTTGGCCTGCTGGTAGTACAGCACGATGAGGTACCGGTTCGCGACATTGAAGCCGGAGAGGTGATCCACCGCCGTTTTGGCGTCGTAGATATCCTCGTAAACAACGAAGGCGGTGCCTCTGGTGTCCTTGTTCGTCCCGATGCGAATCTGCCGTATGGCGCCGTACTTGCCGAAGATGTCGTACATTTCCTCGCTCGAGATGTTGAATGGGAGGTTGCGGACGTAGAGCACGCGGTTGACCTCCGGCGGTAGGCGGGTGTTGACCTTGCGGAGGCTGATTGTGCTCATGGTCGCGGTTGTGGGGGTGTTTGGATGGTGCGAAAGTGAGAAAAAGACGGGGAAAGTTTGGGGCTTTGGGGACGGAGAGAGGTGCTTGATTTGGTACTCTCTGATTAAATTAGGGTTTCGGACTGTCAAAAGAGGGGTAAAGAAGAAGGTGAAGCCGACTTAAAATATGTGGGCCTTAAATTGGCAAAATGGGCCGACTTAAAATCTGTGGGCCTTAAATTAGTGAAATGGGCTGAAATAGAAAACCCAATTTTCCTGTGAACCTTATTCATGTTGATGGTTTTTGGTCATTATTAGCTCATTTGGATGTGCTTTTAAAATTACTGAAAAGGTTTTTAGTGGAAAAAAGTTTTTAAAACCAATCCTTAGTAAAAATACAAGTAAATTATGAAAAAACACTTAAAGTGCTTCTTGAAAGAAGCACATAATTGGTGTTTCTTGCAAAAAGCACTTTAAGTGCTTTTGGAACCTAAAAGTATTTTCCCTAAAAGCGTTTTCAATCATTTTAAAAGCACATCCAAACGAGCCATATGTTTTGAATGGCTTCTCAAGTGTCTTATTTGCGCATTTCTTTATCAGCCCTTAGATTAATCTCAATATCTAGAGTTATAACACAACCTTAAGCTACAACCGGGTCAAAGTAACCCATTGATCTCTCTTTGCGACCCAGGATCTCACTTCCACTCTCTCTACGCCTTTTCGCCTTTAAAGTTCATTAAAATAATTGCCGGCACTGCATAAGAACTTATATAATCATCGTTTTGTCTTTCAATATTAATAGTATCTCTTTGCTTTTCTGTTTCTTCTACTCCAAGTATCCACAGCCTCCGTTGACACAACTTAAGTATCATGTTGTGCCGTTGAAGATGGACAAAGATTCCGTGGAGACGTCTTTCGGTCATGGTTCCAAGGTTGACACTCTTCTGCCCGGTCATCCTCTCGTTCTTACTTCTCTGCCCACCGGCACTGCTTCTCTCAACCTTGTCAAAGTCACCGAGTGGGATGTGTACAACGACGGACGACTGATTGTTCATGGGGTTGAGAACTTCTTCGATCCGGCTTTCCAAACTCTCAGCTATCCGCAGTACGACGTGATGAAGGTGAAAGAGGATTCTTCTCAAGGATTTTTCTGGTGGCCAAAGGCAGTGGAGATTATTAGTTGGTTTCTCTTACTAGCAGTGCTGGCTGCTTTCACCTATCTGCTAATTCCTGCTTTTATTTTTTGTAATAAACCGACTGAGGATGGAGAGTATCCACTTCTGCATTAGGTTCTTGGCGTTTTATGGTACTTAGTTAAGGTTGTAACTCTTTACAGTATTCCAATTTTTTTAATTAACTGTATTTCCTTACTTTCTTGACACAATTTTTCTTACTGTTAAGTGCGTGAAGAAATTGATCAAATCTACGTAATAGACTCATCAAAAATCATATTTGTATCTTCTGAGATAATTAATGTTTCTCTGTTTCTTTGTTTGGATATTAATTTGTTTCTTATTGTGTAAAAAAACTTAATTGTTTTTTCGGCTAATACATATATATTATAGCACAAATCAAATTTGGTCTAGCTATTGGAGGATGAAAATACGTACTCCAATAGATCAACAGAGCCACGAATGTCCCCAAATCGATGTCTCTTTCGTGTATCCTCTATTTCTTTCCGACATGTGCATGCCACTTAACTGTAAAATGTAAATACCAAAAAAAAGGGGCAGCCACCGACGCCATCAGCGTCAACCCCAGCTCTCACTTGTAGTCGTCGAAGGGCCCTGTCATCCTCTCGTTGTTACTTCCCTGCCCACCGGCATTGACGGATACACTTCTCTTGACCAAGTCAAAGTCACTGAGTGGGATGTCTACAACGATGGAAGACTGATTGTTCATGGGGTTGAGGACTTTGATCCGGCTTTCCAAACTTTAAGGTCATCTCCAACCAAAGGTTGGCCAGAGGGTTCGTTTTAGCCCTCTGGTCCTCCAAGAAATTAATATTTTAATGAATAGTGCATGGCCATATTTCTTACCATCTCCAACCGAGGGCCAAAAGACCATAGGACTCATTTTAGCCGTGTCACAAACAAAACATCTCCAACCGAGGGCCAAAGGGCCAAACATATTATTTAAATTTAAAAACTACAACAACTTAAATTAAATACACGTTTACCATATATAAATGCACATTTACCATCTCTAATAGGAAGCTTATATCTGGGGCACCCATTATATTTGTCCCACGTCGGGAGAGAATTGAGCAACCAAAAACTTGCATGTGTGACACCCATTATATTTGTCCCACATCGGCTGTGGGAGAGGTTTGAGCAATCAAACATGCTTACCAATCACCTTTTTGGGCCTTAATTAAATTTTCTTTTTAAATTTTTGCCCAAAAAAAAATTAAAAAATAACGGTTAGTTGACGTTAGCTAGCTGTTGAGATTCAAATTTCTTAGCCTGGCCCGGGGCCAGTTGGCTATCTCATTTGGGCCGCCCGATTGGCCTTTTGGCCTTTTTTTGTCCAATGGGGCCCACGAGAACTTTGGCATAGCCCTCGGTTGGAGACGGTTTTAGGGCTATTTTCGACCTTCTGGCCCTCTGAACCCTTGGTTGGAGATGACCTAAGGCATCCGTAGTATGATGTGATGAATGTGAAAGAGGGATCTTCACAAGGATTTCATGGGCTGAAAGGTGCATTAGAGATTATTAGTTGGTTTCTCTTAGGCTGTGGTGGCTGCCTTCACTTATATGCTAATTCGTTCATTTATTTTTTCTAAGAAGCCATATAAGGGCGGTTTATATGCACCTCTGCATAATTAGGTTCTTGGCGTTCGAGAGGTATACTAAAGTTGTAACAAAGTTATGTATTTATTAGAGAGAATAATTAGTATTTGCTTTCTATAAAATCCGTGGTGTTCATGTGTTACATATTATCATTTTATTTCTAACCCAATTTACAATATTTTGTACCCATATAAGATTAAGTATAATTATAGGTGCTACATCTACAATGAGTACATGACTATGTGAAACTATGAAACTGTATCAATTGCTTTCTTGGGCAATGATGAGTCGATATTATATTATACATTTTATTTTTTTCTTATTTATAATTTATTGGTGATTTTGCTTGCATTTTGATACTTTGATTTATATTCTTAACGTAGACACACAACTCCTTCTTGAGCAAAAAATAATCAAACGGATAATTTTAGAGTGATTCCAATTGGAAGATGTTCACGAATCTTTCAACTTGTTCGTATCAAAGTTTCACATTTTTCTACTAAGCAGTTAATTTATGGTGATGAAATAAAGGACCAACACGCGAAGCTATCAAAGTGACGTTTTTGGCTTTTTGGCATCCAAGATGGTGTCTTTTTGTGACATCCCACATCGCCCAAGGGGGTGATCCTTAAATGTATATTCCCATCCCTACCTAGCGCGAGGCCTTTTGGGAGCTCACTGGTTTCGGGTTCCGTAGGAACTCTAAAGGTAAGCGAGTAGCGTGCGAGAGCATTCCCAGGATGGGTGACCCATCAGGAAGTTCTCGTGTGAGTTCCCAGAAACAAAACCGTGAGGGCGTGGTCGGGGCCCAAAGCGGACAATATCGTGCTACGGTGGTGGAGCGGGCCCGGGAAGTGGTCCCCTTCCGGGCCGAGATGTGACGATTTGGTATCAGAGCCTAACCTTGGCCGTGGTGTGCCGATGAGGACGTCGGGCCCCTAAGGGGGGTGGATTGTGACATCCCACATCGCCCAGGAGAGTGATCCTTAAATGTATATTCCCATCCCTACCTAGTGCGATGCCTTTTGGGAGCTCACTTGCTTCGGGTTCCGTAGGAACTCCGAAGTTAAGCGAATAGCGTGCGAGAGCATTCCCAGGATGAGTGACCCATCGGGAAGTTCTCATGTGAGTTCCCAGAAACAAAACCGTGAGGGCGTGGTTGGGGCCCAAAGAGGACAATATCGTGCTACGGTGGTGGAGCGGGCCTGAGAAGTGGTCCCCCCTCGGGCTGGGATGTGACACTTTTGCTATTAGGTTCATGTTGGAACTTGGAGAGGATGTTCGAAGCTTTAATTCAAGTAGTTTTGGATTTGATTTGGAGCCCTGAAGACCCAGAAACGTGGCTGGGTAGATTCCCATTATTGATTAGGATTATGTTTCCTAGTTTCTCTTAATTTATTATGTTTCCTAGTTTTAAGAATACATTTTATAGGAAGGATTTTATTTTGTAGTAGCATAAATAAGACCTATTAGCCATTAGCGTTCTCCACGCACTACTTTGGAGAATTCGGCTTAGAGAGCTTTTGACGATTTAAGTTTATTTACAAGGTGTTTTTTATCCATGTTCTTAATGGTATTTTTCTTTATGATTGTGTGTAACTAATCTCTTTTGCTAGGATGAGGCCATGAGTCTTAGCAATAATATGTAGTTTCTTTTCAATTTACTTATGATATATGCAAGCAGGTTTTGAATTATTAATTTCCGTGTTGAAATTATCTAATTGTCTTGATGCTTGATCACCATTAGGATATTTAGAAAAGTAATTTGATGCAATTTTGGTCAGAGGATTGTCCTTGAAATTGACGAAGGTTTCTTGTGGTTAATAATTGTAATTTTACTTAGGATGAATATCACGTCTTACAGGTTGCACGATTTTTCAAGGGGTTTTCAGAAAGATTAATGAGTCTTATATGTTTAGATTTGACCTGAGTAGAGCATACTTTAGAAAAACCTAACCTTCAAAATATTCATGTATAAGTTAGCTTGGGGTCCAAGTAGAGCATACTTTAGGAAAACTTAACCTTCAAAATATGCATGTATAAGCCATAAGTAATTGAGAGAATTACGTAGGATTGTTAAGATGACGGTAAACCATATGCTTTTACAACTTGATTTTTGAAAATTGTTTTCCTTTTGCTGATTTATTTAATTATTTTTATTCATATTCGTTTTTATTATTTTAAATTGCAAAATCAATTTTTTCTAAAACTTTGTTTTAGATAATTAATTAAGATTTAATTTTAATATAAATTATTTTAAATAATCTTCGTGGAAATTAACAACCTTGCATGAGCATTCTTATTACAACTACTTTATTGTCTTGCAAGGATTTTAAAATGTTTTTATTCATACTTTTACAAATGGTAAAAATCCTATCGGGCAATCTCGTAAGGTCTTGGCCTCTCAGTAATTTCAATGGCTGATTCCATCTCTCTTCCAGTTGGCGAACAATCACTGTGACTGAAACCACCATGCTCAGTAGACGGTGTTCTATCTGTTCCTCGAAAACATTGCGCGATTCAGTGTCGTTTGAGTAGACAGATGGACTTGGCGGGAAGATGGTGTTACCTTTCAGTTCACCCTTCTTAAAAGTAAACGAATTTAAGTCCTTTTTGTCGTAAATTCTTAGCATGACACAAAATTTTCTCCACAATGAGGCTTCTGGATTGAGTTGCGAGAAGATGCCCTTGTGTTCGTACAAGAACATGGCAGCAAATATGAGCAGAGCTAATGTTGAAGCAACACCGGCTATGAGAAAGAGGCCCCAAAAGCTCTCGAGGCTGAGACTGTTGGGAGAGACAACGCTGTTAGGGTCTGCACAACTTGACTGATTGTGGAACAACATCTTCTCAATCTCTTTCGTTTTGTTTCCCTCGGTCACGCTTAAGATTGCCCTGGAAACGTCACGAGCAAGAGGCGAACCATTTGGGAAGACCTACACAAGTCACAAAGTGAAAGTGTCAAAAGACGGTATTAGGAAAATATTTATAGTAATTCTTCTCGAGGAGTTAAGTATAAGCCAAGGATAATTAAACTTATGCAACACTTTAATCCTCCGACTCGAAACTCACACTCTCAATTGAAAGGACACAAAATAATCCCACATGACATGAGAAAACAGACATTTGAACATGATAGAGACAAAGGAGCGAAAGTAGGTGAACTTACAAAGGCAAAACCATCAGCTTTAAATGTCGGCTCAACCAAGGTGTATTTTGAGCAATACTTTGCAAGAAATAGTTTCATATAGGGTGTCTCGTCGAAAGCTGCCGAGATGCCATGTTTATTACTCCCGTTTTGAAAAAGTTTATGCAACTCTTCAGGGGTATCATAGGTCACAAGTCTGTCATCTGGAAAGCCTAGTTGTTTCAGAATCCCAAGAACGAAAGAACCTGATAGGTAGGCAACAGAGTCCCTATTCTTGAGGAGCAAGTTAACATCAGTAACAGTTGGTTGGAGCTGTTGAACTGTTAACAGAGATGTCAAACTTGCAGTGTAACTTTGGGTCAGGATGAGGACCACAAAGCACCAGATTATCACCACAAATCGAGCCAAGTTGCTCACTACTCGCTCCCCTGTAACGAAAATTTCAAAAGACAAAGAAATGGAGAACTATGAGTCATGGATGTTATAAGTTTGAGGGATACCTTACAATGGAAAGCATTAAATTTGCTTAGTTTCTATGGAGAGTAAATTAAGATGAGCGAACTTACTGTGTGCGAAAACCATGGTTGAGAATGAGAACCAAAAACTTGTACCGATTTGGTGATGTGGAGGCCCCCGAAAGTCTTCGTTGATCCGATGTTCAAGAACCCAAACAACGAAACCAATGAATATGAAAAAACAACCGCTCGTTACCCAAAGGTCCCATGTCAAGGGCTTCAAGAACACCCAAGCATTCTTGTTTTTGTTGTCTTTGATAGGCACAATCATGGACACACCAGATTCTGTGTATGGCAATGTGAAGTCCACATATAAGGATCTGTTTGCTCTAATGGTGATATCCCCCACTGCCGCGTCATAGTTCTATCAAGAAAAAATGTTACCATGTCAGCTACGAAATCAGATAAGTTTGTTAGATTAGGGAGAAAAGACTCTTACCTTGAGATACACTTCATTGACCAAGTCATTGTAATTGCCAGCAGTCGAACCATTAGGCCTTGCATAGGGAATAAGCTCATAAGGAACAGCGTAGGGTAGCAATTTTATTACAGATTCGAAGATGCTTATGCAATATCCACCATTGACCGTGGTTTTGTTGGTTCTAGGATCATGTGTGACATTTACAAATTCCAAAAACCCTTGCCTGACCGGGACTAGAATTCGCAGCTTAGTGTCAGGTGTAGGAATCTGCCAACCCTTTGGAGCAGATGTGGTGTCTCCAGGCCATATAATAGATCCAAGACTAGCATTGGAAGTAGAATATTTGCTTGTTTTTTTCAAATTTAAGTTTCTTTGAAGACCATTTCGGGGTGTCCAAAATCCAATTCGTTTTTCCCCACTTCCAATCACATTAACGATCTCAAAAGTTGATGATTGTAATTGGCCATTGAAAAGATTGAAATCTCCTGAAAGGCCTTTAAAATTTGTACCTGATAGTTCTTTGACAAGCTGAGGACCATTTTGTGAGACCCCAAATCTTTCCAGATCAGTATTACTAGAGTTTCCGGAAGTATTCTTCTTTCCGAAGCTGAAGTTTTTAGCCCCAACTTTCTCAGCAGCCATGGCCAGTGCCCAAGCAACATCATACGCCCACAATCCGAACACATTCAGTTTAACGTCCTGGACAGTTGGATTGTCTTGTTGAAATTTCCCCTTCCATCTAACTCGAAAACTCTCAAGCCCTTTTGAATTTGGGTAATAAGTTTTTATACCCAAAACCCCTTGCATATTTTCTACGCCAGAGGAATTTATGGAACTAAACCTGTTGGTCATCCCATCAGTCATTATCCAAGCATACCCTGCCTTCATCATGCCGATCTCTTTTGCCTTGTTGAAAATTCGCAAACCGAGAGATGGTAACATGTGCACGATGAAGACCTGAGTTTGCATTCCCTTTAACTTGTAAAGCTCAGTAGCAATTTGGTCATCAGTAGCATTTGGAGAAATGACAGTCCGGTAGGGGATTCGAGCATCAACTTCTTGCAAGGCATCAGAGAGGTAAGGTATGACTCCTTCCCCATACTCGTTTTGGACGTAGATAGGCACAACTTCCCTCCAGCCAAATGCTTGGATGATAGCACTAATGGCTTTCACTTGGGATGAATCATTTTGTGCGGCTCTTATGAAATATGTACTTCTGATTGAAGTGAGAGATGGGCTTGTTGCTGAGTAAGAGATTATGGGGACTTGGGCTTTCTGTCCAAGGTTGATTAGGAAGTTGGCCTGCATTGATGATGCAGGCCCTATGATTGCTTGCACTTGAACATTCTTTATCAGGTCTAGAGCTGTTCATTCAAACAAGAAAATGTTAAATCAATCTCCCCGACGTGGGATTCACGCTCCGATTGAGTATTCAAAACTTCACGGGTACTTGTTAGAATGTGACCGTCCAACTCAAAACTCATTGACAATGAACATGAGATGCCCAAGATTTCTTAAACTATTTTGCAAGGCTATTATTCCCCTGACATGAGATTTATACTTTCAAAACTAATTGAGTACATAAATGGGTTAATGCTAGAATGTGAGTGTCTAAATCAAAATCAATGAACAATAACTAGATAAGCACCAAAATCATTTAAAACTATTATGAAAGGCTCTCAACAGAGGGGGATTAATTGGAAGGAGCAAAAACAAAACATGAACACAGATAAAAGAGATAGAATTACCTGCAGAAGCTGTGACAACAACATCTAAAGGGGAGTTCCTTTTGTGCAGAACAAGCCTGGTTTTGTAGTTAGAGTTAGAGGCATAGAAATCGGATAGGGCGATTTCGATGCAGCTCAGCTGCATCTTCCCATACCAGGCATCAAAGTCAAGAACCAGACCCACATGAAATGGGGTAGTCTTATTGTTTTGCGACATGGCCAGGAAAGTAGTCTTAGAAAATAAGAACAAGAAGAACGAAGCAAAAAGGTAGCTTCTGCAGCTAGCTTTCTTGGCCATGTTGGAAATTTTTTTTGGGAAGCTTTTCAAGCTTTGCAATTCATGACTTCAAGAAAATGGAGTCTACGTTTATATAGACTATTACATAAATTAATACAAGTACAAGGAGCATCCAACACTCCAAATCCATTGGCTGTGATAGCATGTAATTTCATGCTATGAGCATCTCCAAAAAAATGCATTTAAGTTTGCTGTCCTCATTCAGCGAGTCAATGTCAGATTGTCAATAGTGGTGGATGTCTCTAAAAGTTGAAAATTCAAAGGTATTATTTGTCTCATTACATTGTCCAAGTGTAGCTTTGACAAATCAAAGACGCGTTTATATTTGCATGTGGAAAAAAAAAATTAGTACAGATATTTGCTCACCTAGTGTGTGGTGGAAATGGAATGGTCACTTTCGAATTCCGTGCAGTGACTTAAAATTGATGACATGAATTAGTAATACTGCATAATACTATAATAGTGAGTGTCGTACTGACAAATGAAATAAAAGATAATATCTTGACAAAATGATCTGCCCAATCTTTGGCAAATGAGAATGCAATAAAACAAAAAAATGAGCAACAACTATCAAGCGAGAGGAGTCTTAGAGCAACTCCACTCCTAAAACTTTGCGCTAATATTCAGCCTATTTATTCATTTCAGTGAACAGTAATAGCCATTAATGAACAGTAATAGGTTAAAGCATCTCCACCCCCAAAAAAATGTGCTGGCACCCAGTCTAAAAATGCGCTGGCACAAACGATCTCCACCCTACAAAATGCGCTGGCACCCAGTCTATTTAAAATATTAAATAATTTTTTTATAAAATAAAAAAAAAGTTTTAATTTCGGATAGGATTTTTAAACAATCTCGTCACGCCACGTGTCATTATCCGAACGTACTATTTTTTGAATAGATTTCCGCTAAGATTTTCAACCAATCCCAACAACCCACGTGTCACTTCCTGTTTATAATAATTTAGGCAAGATTTCGATAAGATTTTTAACCAATCTTGTCACGCCACGTGTCATTATCCGAACGTACTATTTTGTAGATAAATTTCTGATAAGATTTTCAACCAATCCCGACACGCCACGTGTCACTTCCTATTTACAATAATTTAGCCAAGATTTCGATAAGATTTTCAACCAATCACGTAGTGCCACGTGGCATTGTCCAGAACCTCATCTTCTCTTTTTTTTGTCCATATAAACCCTACATCCCTACATCCATCTTCACACTAAACTCAATCCTTTTTTTTAGCTCAGAATTCTTCTTTATCGTTTTCAAATCTTGAGTTCTTACAATGTCTTCTTCAAGGAGATCGTATAAACAGTTACAAGAGCAGCAGAAAAGGTTGTTGGCACAACAGGAAGAATTGGTCAATCTTGACCAAGGTGGAGGTGGAGATGAGGCATTCGCAATGGAGGAGGATGAGGATGATCACCATAGAAGGCGGAGGGCCTCACATTCCCGCCGTATCATGGAAGCTATGGGTCAGATAGCCCAACCCAGACATGCGGCAAACATCAATAGAAGAAGGGAAAGACGAGGTAAAGATCTCTTGGAAGATTATTTTATTCCCAACAGCGTTTTCCCTGATCATGTTTTTAGACGTCGTTTTAGAATGCAACGAAGTTTGTTTGATAAAATCATGAGTGATGTTTGCAACCATGATCCATATTTTGTGCAAAAAGAGGATGCTTTTCATGTTCTAGGTCTTCTTCCTGAGCAAAAAATTACGGCTGCCTTGCGAATGTTTGCATATGGAGCATCTGCAGATCAAGTGGATGAGATCGCAAGGATGGGAAAAACAACAGTTCTGGAGTCCCTGATGCGGTTTTGCTCTGCAATTGAAGCCCTCTACACCAATGAGTACCTTCTGCAACCCACGCCAAGGGACATGCGAAGGCTTCTGAGGAAGGGTGAGATGCGAGGCTTCCCTGGCATGATTGGAAGCATTGACTGCATGCACTGGACATGGAAAAACTGTCCAAGTGCGTGGCAAGGAGTTTATGGCGACAGAAAAGGAGCCAAAAGCATCATTTTGGTAGCGGTGGCTTCTTTTGATACATGAATTTGACATGCTTTTTTTGGTGTTCCAGGAGCTTAGAATGACCTAAATGTCCTTGCTCAATCTCCAGTGTTTGATGAACTGCTACAAGGAAATGGGCCGAGATGCACATATTGGGTTAATGGTAATAAATACGAGGGACCATACTACCTTGCAGATGGTATTTACCCAAGGTGGTCAACATTTGTCAAAACAGTGTCACATCCGCAAAATGAAAAAGAGAAACACTTCGCAAAGTGTCAAGAAGGGTGTAGGAAGGATGTCGAGCGTTGTTTTGGTATCCTGCAAGCTCGTTGGGCCATTGTCAGGGCTGCAGCTAGAATGTTTGATGTCGAGGCTCTTCGATCCATCATGATGACGTGTATTATTCTCCACAACATGATTGTTGAAGACGAGTATGATTATGATGTCGTCGATGAATACGAGCCGGATCCGATGAACAACTCAAGAACACAAATCTACTATGCTCATGACCGGACCGAAGATCCCGTGCAACACGAGCCGTTGGAACGGGATAGACGTTACAATGAATTGATCGTTCAACGGTACACTTCATTGCAAGAGCCATACTGGCACATAACCCGCCAGAATGACTTGATTGACCATCAGTGGAGATTGCACGAAGGCGAAGATAATTAAAATAAGGCTTGTGGTTGAAGAATAAGGTGTATTGTTTTTTAAGTAATCTTATTTAGTGTGTTTATTTTTTTTTAAGTTTAAATGGTGAGGTTATGTAATTTTATTTGGTGTTTTTTTTTAAATGTTTATTTGGTGAGTTTATGTAATCTTATTCAAATATTTAAATAAAGTACAAAAATTACATAAGAAATTAAATAAAGTTCTAAAAGTAAATATGAAATTACATAACAAATTAAATAAAGTTCTAAAAGTAAATAAGAAATTACATAAAAAAATTAAATAAAGTTCTAAAAGTAAATAAGAAATTACATAACAAATTAAATAAAGTTCTAAAAATAAATAAGAAATTACATAAGAAATTAAATAAAGTAGTACAAATAAATGCGAAATTATACAAAGTCTGTGGAGTTAGGATACGTGGTGCTAGGATCTTGGTTGCTAGGATTTCTGTAGCGGGAACCCTCTTGACTTGTTTCGGCATCTTTTGCACGCCTCATTCGCACGACATCTCTTTTTTCTGATGTCCAAAAATATTTTAAATTCGGAGACAGTCCTACTAGAGACTTGTTCATAGTGTCACGATTTGTTTGAGCCATCATTTCTTCTCTAAGCATCTCATTCTCTTGATGAAGTGCTTCTCTAATCATCTCGTTCTCTCGATTAACTATTTCTCTTTGTCTCTCAGCCGCCGCATCACGAGCCTCAGTAGCTGTTATTATTGCTGCCATAGCAGTAGCTTTTTCCTCATCTTTAGCCTTTTCCCATGCCATGTTCAGTTCACCTTGACGAGTAAGTTCCTCCATATATTTAGTGTAGTCATTTTTGGAAGAACTACCTTTTTTCTTTGATGCCTTTTTACCTTGAGGCCTGAGGGATTGACGAGTCGGTTGGGTCTCTGGCACTTGTTTAGGCGTCCCTTCCGTGTCTTCAAATGTGTTGGCTTCTTGTTCGGCTGTGTCTGCTTCTGGTGAACTGTGTAGACCCATACCGTGCATGACAACTTCTGGACCGGTTGCCACAATTTTGTATCTAGGGCAATCTTTGACAATTTGCCAACATTCCCATTTGTTGAATGATTTGTTATGGTTCTTTGCATTGTAGAATGCTTGTGCTTGTAGTGTCTATAAAAATATGGGATAAGATAGTATTAAAAAATACGGGTGTAACATAAATAAATAAATTAAAATATTGATGGATGTGTAATGCATATAAATTACATAAGAAATTACATAGAAATTACATAAGAAATTAAATAAATTAAAATATTGATGTGGGTGTAACACAAATAAATAAATTAAAATATTGATAGGCGTGGAATGCATATTACATAGAAATTACATAAGAAATTAAATTAATTAAAATATTAATGTGGGTGGAATGCATATAAATAAATAAAAATATTGTTACCCCATCCGCTAAACTTGTCCCACTACGCAGATTACCAGAAGCATGAGAGAGGGCGTTTTTCCAACAAGTAAAGGATGCGTTGAGTTTTTTCCAACGACCTTGAAGACCTTGACTAGATCTGACATCTTTTCCATGTACATCGCAAAACGATTTCGTAATTTTACTCCACATTTCTCGCTTATCCATCTCATTACCCATAATCGGGTCATGAGTAGTGCGAACCCAATATTCACACAACGTAACATCTTCACTGAGCTTCCACGAAGTCATTTTTTTCTCTTAAAGTGTACAAAATATTCAAATGTAGAAAGTGTAGAAAATATTGAAATGTGGTGTAAGGTGGAAGATGAGGGTTTGGTATTTATAGAAAAAAAATTATTTTTTTAAAATTTTTCTGTATTTTTTAAAAAAAATTTCACAATTTTTAATTAATTTTTAATAAATTTTAATGTTGTAATTAATCTGGACCGTTGGATTTGAAAAATAATCAAATCCAACAGCCAATCAGCTGCCACGTGGCCAACGGTCAAAATTCTGACCGTTGGGCCTTTTTTTTTTTTTTAATTTTTGGTGAAAAAAGGTGGACCGTTAATATGTGATCGGACGGTCCATTTTAAAAGTCAAATTTTAATTTTTTTTACCGTTGGAAATCCAACGGCCTACAAAAACTAGCCGTTAGAAATCCAACGACTCTGAGGAGGGCCACGTGGCCCTCACCCGTTCGAACCCACTTGCGCTGAAACGCGGGGCCTACGCGCTACAGCGCTGTCGGCCACTCGCGCCCAGTCGCGAGTGTTGTGCACGCGCCAGGGAAATGGACCGGCTTCTGGGTCTGTCCGAAATGGGCTGACCTGCTGCCTGGCATGGGCTGGGTGCCAGGCTGTTTCACGGGCTGGAGGGTTTGGACAGGGTGCCGGGCTGCTATTTGGACAGGGTGCTGGGCAATTTGGCTTGGGGTGGATTTGCTCTAAAAAGGGAAGAGATCCCAACTGCAAGGCGCCAAAGCCATCACCCAAAAAA